AGAGTTCAGCTCCAACCCTAATCAAACACACCTGAACAAGCTAATCAATGTCTTCAGGATTACTAAGGCTATAGGCAGGTGAGTTTTATTTTCAGGGTTGGAGCTGAACTCTGCAGGACTGCGGCTCTCTAGGACCAAACTTGCCTACCCCTGTCCTAGACCATTGGTGTCATTGGTTTCTATGATATTTTTGGGCTTGCAAAGCTTTTAGGAAATGCAGCACTGAGTTATTTGTTCACAAATCAGACTGATATGGTTCTTGAGTTCACAGTTGTGACAGTCCTCGAGTTATTAGCTCACTGGAAGGGACAATTTCAAAGAGAATAACAGAGAAATGTTGGTTTGTTCATCACAGAAAGCTATCATATGACTTCTAGCGAAAGAGTTGTATAAACCACTTTAAGCTTTTGTCCCAAACTTATTGTACACAGTGCGAGCAAAACACTTTTCTCAGATGACGGTCTTATATCTTAGCCATAAACATTTCTCTTCCCATTTGCATCTAAATGGATGACATTTCCGGGTTTTTTTGCAGGTGAAGCAATGCTATCAGATGCTTGGTCCTGCCATTTAATAACTGGCCGGTTAGGATTTCAAAAATGAGTTGTTTGCATAAATGTTGATGGACTTTTGCATGCTAGCTTGATTTATAATGTTTTAGCTATGTATGTACCACACAAGCACACAAACTGCATAAGTATCAAGGATGTAATAGTGAACCAATCAGAGCACAAGTTACACGAGAAACCTGAAAATAATTTTTGCTCAGCCAGAGGAGTGCAATTACGAACGTACTTTGTCTGATGTCATCTTCATGTTAACATTGTGTCTGACAGTTTTCGATTTTGTTGGATACTGGAATGCTTCAGTCATCCTTCACTGCAACTGCATTAAAAAGAGCACGCGGTACAAAAGTTCAAAACTGTGAAAACGCTTCACATCATCTAGTAAGTAAAAGGATGTGGATTGTGCAAATGTTTGTTAAAATATGCTATCACTTTAATACCACTTTAAAAGCCAGCATTTCACTTGCATTTCCTCTACTAAACATCTGACTGCAATTTGATTTATGTTCCCTTTTTCGGACAGCATGTGTGCAGTGTGTCATATTTCTCCATTAACCACATCTCAAGCCAAAACTCATTTCAAAAAGCTCAGCAGGTGATAAACACCCCTTTCAAGCCATTTCAGCATCAGCCTGAATGTAAACCAAACATAAACTATAAAATCATGAAATAAAACAGCAACCGCATAAATGGCACCATAATCACAATTCCAACCGTTAAGCGTCCAGATGAGCAGGAGAACCCATTACAGACATTTGTCATTATGAGCAAGACATACAGTCCCAGGCTGCTCTGAGGGAACTGGACCGTCATATATGCAGACATTTTTCATCAGCGGGCCTTCCTAAAACCTAATTTCCTCTTGTGCTCTTTCCGCCATTCCTCTGTCTCACCTTGCTCTTTGGGTCCGGTGCTGGCGATGATCCATTTGACCAGGCAGCACCTCATGAGGGCTTTCCGTGTGAATCGAGGCCTCTGCCATTTGCCGCTCTCCTTCTGTCGGCCTGTGCCAGGCTCCACCCCATTGGCATCACCCAGCAGACTGCCATCCACCACCTTGCCATCCTCCTGGGAGAGAGAAACAGACAATGACAGAGAGCTTATTTCTTCTCACTCAGTTAATACAGTCTGTGCTTGAGTTAAATCAAATTCAAAAATCAAACGGCAGAACGTGTCTATATCTAATATTACAATGTCATCTTTGACTAAGTGTTGGAAGTACTTCAGAGAAGGCACATAATTGTTCTCAGGGGGTCTGTAAACAGAACTAGATTTTCATTTTCTAAAGATAATACCAGTGCTTGCAAGGCAGCAAAAGAATAGCTTTGCCATATATAGGCAATATTTTAAACCACTTTGTGGGGAGTAGATGGTTAAACAGATGCAAAAAGGCAAACACAGCTATTCACTATATGCAAACAGACGTAAGAAAGCTGACCAATCGGTATTCAGAATGCAAATATTATGACGATATCACCAACCAGAATGATTAAATGTTTAGTTCACCCCAGAATGAAAATTCTGTCATTATTTGCTCACACTCATTGCGTTCCACAACTGTATGAGTTTCTTTCTTCTGTTGAACATAAAAGAAGATATTTTGAAGAATGTTGGTAACCAAACTGTTTTGGTGACAGAATTTAAATTTTTGGATGATATATCCCTTTAAGAAACATCAAGACCTACCTAACCTAAAACACAATATACTGTATATTTATCTTCAGGAGGTTTTCATGTTTTTGCAAAGGAGATGAGAATAAATGATGTTTATCAGACTATGAATCTAAAATTAGCTTTTGTAGTCCTCGGGTTGTTTATTTGGGGGGAAAAAGCAACATACGTCACACAGAATAATAAACTATCATGAGACATGTTGCACATATGGAAAACACAAAGATTTCAAATCAGCCTCCGAATCTAAAATTCCATAACCATATGAAAAATATCACACAGATTCCTGTGCCCTGCCATCAGCCACTTTGACATCATAACTGCGCACTGGCAGATTATGGCATAATCAGAAATTATGTCATAAAATGATCTGTCATTAGAGATGATATCAGTCTTTCTTAGAATCCTGTCATTGTCACATCATAAGAGTTATTATTATAAATTCAACATGAGATATAGAGGCAACATTTTTAATATCTGATTTGAGACTGTAACATTTCAAGCTGGAATAAAATATAACATGATGCTATGAGCTCTGTTTCCTGTAACAATTACAAAACTGTATCATAGCAACCATAATTTCTGCCAAAAATACCTCAGTTATTATTATTACAATAAAACTAGTAACTTGGTATAAGCCACAATCGTCATAATGTTGGATGGCTGATTCCATATAAATTTACCTTTTTTATGGTTACACTGTCATTTAAATTATGTTTCCTTCTTGCACAGACTTTCGCCATTAATACCAGCTCAAGCCAAGACTCATTCCAACATCTCAACAAGTAATGAAAACAGCTTTATGTCTTGTTTTGAAAGAACTAGTGTTGTTTTCTCTTACGCTGCGGGTGCTGTGTGGAGATGTCTTATTTTGTTATTAAGAGCGATTCATTGCTTTGAGTTTGCACACATAATGCACTGTGGGTGCTGCTCACTCTTATTGATGGTTTGTGCAAAGCTGAGAGGAACAAATGCATTGCTGATTTTTTTGTCATGTTTGGCTACTCAGTTCAGTACTGAATATACAGCATGGGTTTTACAGTACTGTTTTTGGAGAATGGAGCATAATTTTAGGGAAAGAATCTTCATGCTATGGAAAAACCTAAAGTAAGTTTAAGTTTAGTCATTATAGTAATTAATAAAAAATGGTTAGTTCACCCAAAAATGACAATTGCCCCATGATTTACTCACCCTCAAGCCAACGTCTCACCCGCAAAGCCCTCTGCATTGCAGGTGATCCCACCCACCTGACACACAGCTTCTTCAGTCTGCTGCCATCGGGGAGGAGACGACTTGACTTGACTTGAACCTAGGTGTATATGACTTTCTTCTTCCAAACGAATACAATCAGAGTTATATTAAAAAATGTCCTGGCTCTTTCAAGCTTTATAATGGCAGTGAATGGGTGTCGAGATTTTGAAGTCCAAAAAAGTGCATCCATCCATCATAAAAAGTGCTCCACACAGCTCCGGGGGCCTTCTGAAGTGAATCGTTGTGTTTGTGTAAGAAAAATATCCATATTTAAAACTTTATGAACCGTAATCTCTAGCTTCTGCTAACTGTCGTACACGAGAGAGTGGCGTTCCAGCAGATGACGCAGGATGTAGGGCGAACGCGGTGACGAACGTGAAAGTGACAAAAGTGGAAGTGCAGTGCACCCTGTTCAAACACACCTGAACCAGCTAATCAAGGTCTTACTAGGTATACTTCAAACTTCCAGGCAGATGTGTTGAGGCAAGTTGGAGTTAAACTCTGCAGGACACTGGCCCTCCAGGACCAAGTTTGGTGACCCCTGATCTACACCATCAGCCTGCACACATTATAACTAAAGTAATAGTCAGACGAAGTGTTGTAGAATATATATAATTAAAATCAGCCTTTGTGCAAACATTTACATATTGTTTTAAAGCTACTGAACAAACAGTTACAAACATTTTTTTTTTTCAAAAGAAATTAATACTTTTAATCAGCACGGACACATTCAATTGATCAAACATGAAAGTAATGTCTTCTACATTGCTTCCAAACTATTCTATTTCAAGCAAATGCCGTTCTTTTCTCTTCATCAAAGAACCCCCCCCAAAAAAAATTATTGTTTCCTCAAAAAATGTTAGCAGCTGTTTTCAACACCGATAATAACAATAAATGCTTATTGAGCAGCAAATCAGCATATTAGAATGATTTCTGAAGGATCATGTGACACTGAAGACTGGAGTAATGATGCTGAAAATTTCTCATGGCAGAATAGTGACCGGAAGACCCTGTAATTCGGCTATATAATACTGAACACACTGTTTTATTCCAGGATGACCTTTGCTAGGTGAAGAAAGAGAGCAGATGAGGAGAAATATGAACATTTGAGCAACTGAATGGGAAAATGTGGCATTTCAAAGCTCCCTTGAGTTATTTCAGCCCACCGCAGGATCACCTGTATTGGAACCAACAAAACCTGGACTGGAGCAGACACATACAGATAAACAAAATGGCAATAATTCGGTGATGGAAGCGGTTCTGGATTATTCCAGCCCAATAGTGACTAACGCAGGTTAAAACAACTGTCACCATCACGCTTTAAAACCCAGGATGGGTCTTTTTTACTAAAGGAAACCCCAGACACGTACTGTACTTCACCTCGTTCCTGCACAGCAGAGCGTCACTCATTCATCTTTCAGCACTCAATTATTCAGACTCTAACTCTATAAAAACCCCATCAATAAAAGATCGGCAGAGAGCAAGAGAGCAGGAAACGGACAAAAGCCTCTTTTACATGCACAAACAAAAGCATGGCAGGTAGATGTTAGAGAGCCGCCTCGCTCTTCATAAACTCACAAAGAAACCCGTCATCATCCTGAGAGTGCTTTTATAGAGATAAACACAGACATTGATTTGGCTCTCAGGGAGAGGTTGGTTTAGGCCACGCTGTAAATGCTGAGCAGCATGAACCGGGTCGAAAAACAATCGCTAGAAGCGGAGCTAAATACCAGGTAAGAGAGGGACTGTCAAAGAAAATGACACATCAGTCAGCCGCTGCGGCGAGATGCTGGAAAAGATGGCCGTTCAATCCTGACAGTGAGCGTAATCGGCTAAATTAAAAATGGAAGAGCCGCTGCTCTCGCCACATAAAGTCTAAGAAGACGGAATTAAAAGTGTCGTTGGGATTAACGACTGGGTTTCTAATAAAAATGGCAAATTAGGTATTAGAACGACTTTGAATTAGGATAAAGAGACACATTTGCATCATATTTGTTCTGCTGAATTAACACATAATACGATTCAGACCTTTCCATCTGGTGAGAAAGCCAATCTAACAGACAGCATGCAAATGTGTCAACTTTCTTAATGATAGTAGTTTACACCCTTAAATATGCTCTTTCTTTTTACTTTGTCATTTGTTGGCAGTTTCGTGCACTAGAGCTGGTTGATATAACCAAAATACCTCAATATCAATATTTTCAGTCTGTTGTTCATATAGAGGATTACTACAAAGTTGCAGGTAGGTGTGTTTAATCCAGGTTGGAGCTAATCTCTCCAAGAAAGTGGATCTCTGGTCTAGAGACCAGAGTTTTTAGAAAGTTGAAGTTTTTTTGAACACATTGTCATGCATGAGATGCTGCAAAAGATGTATGACACAAACGCAGTGGTCAAGCATGTCTATCTAAGCATTTATGTTTACATAGCAAACCAGTTCCAAACCAGTGGTACACAAAATGCGAGACACAGGGGAGTCAAATGAAAAAAGCAAGGTCTAGAAATGTGTTAACTTTTAACTTGACACAGCGTTCTAAAAACATATCGTTAATCTGCATGATGCTGCAAAAGACACAAGACATGAGTGCAAGGGTCAAAGACATCCATCTAGCATAAGTAACATAGAAAACAAAAGGATTAGCAGGGCAGTGTAAGAAAAAAACTCCCCAAAATGTCTAGAGATGCGTTGAACAACTTTTAACTGGAGCGCTGCATTTTTAGGATGCTTGTGTTAAGAGCAAGACACTGCAAAAGAGGCAAGATGTCTTGCAACAGTCAAACAACTGTCTATCACGAGTTTACATAGAAAACCAATTCAAGCAGAGCAGTGGAACACAGATATGTGAGACACAGGGCACTGAAAAAACAAAACAAAACTCAAGGTCTACAGACATGTCTATACCGCTGTGTCATGTGCAAGACACTGCAAAAGAGCTTAATGGTCAAACACATCTGTCTAGTGTATGTACACATTGGAAAAACTGGAAAAGCAGTGCAGTGGAATGCAAAAGACTCTTACACTAGCAATATTTTATTAAACACCAGTGCATGTTGATGGCTGAATGAATAAGTGGGTGGTCACTGTTGGCCTTCAGATGACATTACTGTAAGATGTAACATCAAAATTAATCATGCGTGGTGAACCTGAT